CCAATCTTCAAATTGTCTCAAAATGGAATTGATTTTATGCAGATGAGCATGAAATTGTTTCTATGTGAATTCTGCATGTTAGTGTAAAATAAATTTTTTCAAATAGTCCACAATGCTTTCAACTACGATTCATTCAGCTTTTCTACTGCATTTCCATTTGTATTATCTCGGCCCTGCTCGAATTGGTGCTGCCATTGGTGAATCAAGCACAAACACAGGAAATGAAAGACAGACATTGTAATTTACAGCATTTCCTTTTGCTTTAAAGCATTTCGCGGTTGTTCCGTTTTTTGGTTGAATGCGTTACTACTTTATTATCGAATTGGTAATTCTAGCAAAAATCTCTAAAATCAGAAAATTTCCTCAAATTTATTACTTAATTTTCGTATCTGCAGTGCATGACGTTCCTTGTGAAAAATGCTAGCAACGTAAGCATTCCAATAAATTGCTGAAGATGAAGCTTCTCTTCTCGTGCTTCACATTGCGCTGCTTATTTCAACAAAACTCAATTCAAATATTTACCATGAATCTACACCAATTCGACTTGCTGCCTTTTCTTAATACTCGCATTTGTCTGTCTCTGATAGGATTCAATGATTGATGGAAACTCACAATGAAGACGAGGTTAAACAGTGAAACCAAAAATCAAAAAATTCCCATGAACTCACATTTACTGATATATATCTTCGCTTCAATTTCCTCTTGTTAAACTACATTTTAAAATATGGAAAATGGAACCTAACAAATTATTTAATAGTTTGGCAAAGATATTGGAAATATAAATTATAGAAAATTAAAAATAAGTCTCTAACCAATGAATGATGTTTGCATTTTTGAACATGAATATTTATTCTATGAAAAGTTTTCATTTACATTCAAACTACAATGTTTTTATACTTTCTAAGTCCTCAAAATATAAACTTATTCATTATAATCGATGATTTAGTAAGGGTTCGGAGTAAGTTGAACATAACTGTTAAAAAGTTTAATTTGTTCCGATTCTTAAAATAATATCCCTTTCCGTTTTTTTTCGAAATGACTGCTGCTCTTTAATCGATGATTTAGTAAGAGTTTGAAGTGAGATTAAAAAATTTGTTGAAAAGTTCAATTTGTTCCGATTCTTCAAGTAACTCCTACTTACTTTTTTTGGCAACAGTTTCTGCTCCTAGAATAATATAGATTTATAGTTATATTGAAATGTAAAAGCTAAAAGAAAGAAGAGTGGAACGAAACAACCAAGCATTATCAATGATAATATCTAGAAAATTAAAAGTCTGGAAATCTGGAGATTACTATAATTCAATGTTTAGGCTTAAGTTAATAAATATGATTAACTCTCAAATGATCAAATAAAACATACATAGAATAGACATTGGAATATATAGATTATTTCATAGACAAATCATTTCTAGCACTGTATTGAGGCTTAAGTTAATAAATATGATTAACTCTCAAATGATCAAATAAAACATACATAGAATAGACATTGGAATATATAGATTATTTCATAGACAAATCATTTCTAGCACTGTATTGAGGCCAAGAAAACATTATCTGTTTTTACATCTTTAATCCTTCATTCACAATATTTATAACAAACGACCTAATTAAAAAATAGGTGTGTGTAAATGTGTGTGTAAACTAAACTCTAATCTAAAATAACTAATTTATTTTATTGTTAATATACATATAAATAGATGAAGGCATCCATCCGGAACCTATTCCTTGGACTTAAAGATTTGTAGATCCTACCACTCCACCGATTAGACTTCAATATTTCAGACAAAAATCTTCTGCAACCTAAGAAAATGTTCTCTTGCTGTGAGTATGAATTTTCACGAAAAGGAAGTTTATATTCTTACTGACAGACAGCTATTAAGGCTATTTCAGCAGTCAGCATTTCGTCTAGAATATCGTAAAAATGTAGGCAATATATTAACGCTTTAAATGGGAAGTTCAAAATACCTCTGGTTTGGGTTTCAGGGCTTTCCAATATAGTAAAGCATAAGAGCGCAGGTAAACTGTCCAGACTAGGCGCGTCTTTTACGGAAACTCCAGTTACACTTCCTGTCACTACCAGTTACATCTCAATTTATGGGTTAATTCATAACAGGCAAATAGTGATTGGGCTCATGCTTCTTCAGCAGCCAGGTTAAGGGTTACTATGCCATTTTACAGAAATAAATCAGAAGTATATAGGTTAATATCTGTTCTAACTGGATAATGGACTAAAAGATGACATGGAGCTAAGTTCTATTTACCCTGTAGCATCCCCTATAGTACTTATCTATCGGCTCTCACAGGAAAGACACCATAACACCTGTTATATGTATGTCCAGGCATGTCTTGAATCACGGTAAAACTATTCGATTGCCCGCTCTTCAATATACTCGGCGATATTTCTAGCATTACTGTTAGGCAGAGGCTTGCATTTATCAATACTTCCGGAAAAATTTTGGAATCCAAACAGCTTGTTATCTAATTGAACCTAAACTATAAATATAAAAAAATTAGTAACGTAACGCGAAAGTATATATTTTCTAGTAAAAAATGAGTAGTTTTCATAAGAAAGAGGCTAACTTATTAATTTAAATTAATAATACATTGTCTTCTTTTTAGAATGTGATTGCTGAACAATTTCGATCCTTTGCGTCACCAACTCAAGTGCTAAAATTAATCAAAAATTAAAAAAACAAAGTTTGAAAATTGCTCCTTAAAAGTAAACTCTGCGTACATATTTTAAATAAAATTTTAATAAGTTATTGTTTGATATTTTTGATTTTTAATTTTTTCTACTTATTTTAGAAAATTTAACCAATATTTGCTAAAACGATATTGATATCCTGACATAAATTTGAACTTTCCCTATGCACTAACCTCTTGCGTACACACATAAATTTATTCTTTCAATAAAGCATCGTTTGCGTGTTGCAATTCTTTGGGCAAACATTGCCTTCCTGCCAAACTCTTCCTTTTTCTATGCTCGCTCCCCATCATCCTCGGTTTGGATAGAAACCCCATTATTTATAAGCATATACCATATACAATATAGCATTGTGTTGGGAGTATTTGCAAAGACTTTTACCGTCAAACTTTTACTTCCACTGTATCTGCATAGAAAACTGAATCTGCAGATATACGCACGTGCATATGTGCAAGGAAATAAATTGCCACTGTTTTTGTGCACATCTTCGCAGCAGTCAAATTTGGTTCGGAATCCTGTACTGGTTTCCAGCTACTTTAGTATCTGCATGTCTCTATATTCTACAAAAGGCAAACACTCACACTCATCACACTCATTTTCAAATGCAATGATAGTTTGCATGTATGCAGTTTGGATCTGTGGAACATTTCAAGAGTCATTGAAGCAGAATTGGTATTTTATACGCCAGTACCAAGCCATAGGTTATATTTGTTTTATGTTAAATGTTCAAATATATTATTGCAACCGACTTGCAATGTGCAATTGCACTTCTTGCTGTTTTTGCTGTTGCTGTTGTTATTGGTGTTGTTGTTGTCGTTGCCGATACTGACACTGATGCTGCTGCTGATGCTGATGTTGAAGCCAGTATGAGAGCACAAAGTGTGTTTGCCTACATATGTACAAGGATATGCATAAGCGCATTTGTTTGCATATGTGAGTGTATATCAAACACACACTTACAGACACTTTTCCATATGAGATGCATTTTAGTTTGCTGTTGAAACGCTCGAAACGCTCGAAACTTACGAAAAGATGAAGTGATCCTTATCGATAGTGAAATATGATATTGAACAATGTCAGGGCGGCTCATGTATGATAAACGATAATTTGTTTGGAATACTAAAAATAATTTCTTTTAAGGATATTACAATATTCACACAACGTCACACAAACTCCATTATGCGTGTGCAGTTGTGGGTATCTGGGTATCTGAGTATCTGAGTATCTGAGTATATGAATATGTGTATATGCGAGGAGAAATAAGAAAACTTTGAAGAAATAAATCAATAGTTATCTTAATTAAGTTTTACATCCGAAAATCGTACATATTTTCATTTCTACTCTATTTTTTTTTTGAATTTTATAATTTCATTCTGTATCATTTGGAAAATTAATTTATTTGAACATTTTTACGTAAATCAATGTCGCGAAAAAAACTGACATTTATGTTGATATATGCGAGCACAGATGAATATTTGCGAGTTTATGTGTTTATTTGTGATTTAAATGAGACTTTTTTTCTAAAAAGATTTGACGTCATCCACTGTATTTCAATAGGTTTTGTTGCAATTTGACTGGGTTTTTTGCCACTGTTGCACATCAGCGCCAGTTCAGAGCTTGGCCTCGTTTTGGCCATTACGCCATATAACACAATTTACCTTCACAAGAAAATATTTCTTATTGGCTTAGTGTTTGAGCACACAGATACACACATGTACACACATGTACGCAACACCGTCACTCATACACTCATGCACGCACACAGTCACACATTCGCATAGTTGCGATTATGTTCACATCCTTAGCGCATTGTGTTCCATGTGTAGGTTTAGTTAAAATCCTTTTTACACGCCCGAGCATAAGCTAAGTGTAGATGCAAAGATTTTCTTAAAGGATTTCTGCTTTGCTCTTTACGGAAAATCAGATTTTCACCGATTTTATGCGCATCATATTTTTCCCGTAATACCATCGGATTTTCTGTTTTTAGCCACAAGAGTACTGAACACTTTCTTTCTTCACTCCGTGCTTTTTTTTTACTCCTCATTTTCCTTTTTTTTGGTTTCTAGTTTTTTGTATTGGTTTTTTCTAAATTTTCCTTTTGATGCGGTTTCTATTTAAGAAAAATTACGTGGTTTCCTTTATAAAAGATTTTGCAATGAAATCCAAGAAATCGAAAGACAATCTGAAATTTTTTCAACTTTGCGGTTCCACATCTATTTTTATCACATTCAATGATATTTAAGAATTTAAAAAGAATTTTCCACTAAATCTTGACTTTATTTCTTTACAGAGACTGCAGAGTAGTGCGGGATCCACTAACTCTTAAATCAAAAGGATACGGATTTGTATCATTTGTTAAAAAGTCGGTAAGTTCAATGAAATATTGATTAAAGAACATTAAAGAAAAATAAAATATTGATTAAAGAAAATAATTATACAAACTTTTTTGATAATTAGTTCTTTACATAATTGAATTTTATTTATAATTGTGCGATTGGTCAATTGTTTAAATAATACAGAATTTTTCAAAAAGTTTTTGAAAAATACACATTTTATTGTTACCAATATTTCAACTATAGTCTTTAGCAGGGCTGTCCAAAGCACGGCCCACAGCTCATATGCGGCACGTAACATATTTCTAATCTAATTCTGTAAAATTATATTATTTTATTAGGATACCATACCATATTCAAATAAATAAATTAATAAAACTAAATTAAACATTATCACTATATCTCCAAAAAAACATGGACGTTAGACACCTTAAATCGCTTTTTAGAACTCATTTAGTTATTACTATATTTCTTTGGAGATGAAGTATCGATCCTTTGTAGGAAAATATTATGCAGTCATTAAAAATGTGCACGACAGTCATCTCCAGGTGACAGTTTATATCCAAGTTAAACCTCATTAAACCTACTTTGAGTTTTACTGTCAATAAACCAGTTATCGCTGCTTTGTTGGAATACATTGCGCAGTCACTGAAAATAAGAATTACAATCTGCGCCAGATGGTTCAGATCACATTTTAGACCTCTAATTTCTACTTTGATTAATGCTATTAACGTGAGAACACTATTCATATTATACTATGCTTTTCTAGGTTATATTTCCGCCCTTTTAATGGAATACTATATTGCATATTGTACAAATAATTACACAGGGCTTTGACATTATGATCAACTTAAGTATTGCTGTATAAAGTTCTTATCATTTTTATAATATATCGAATAAGCTATTTAAAATTAACTTAAAGGTGTCCTTTCCTCATTTAAAAAGAATAGATCTTCATCAAACACAATTAAGTTATTCGTATAATGCCTGGGGAAAACTATTAATGCTGAAGTTTAATGTTGCTGTTAATTAACAACACAGGAATGTTTTTGTTTTTTTTTTTTTTGATTAAACTTTTGTTAATTAATTACCGTATCAACGTATTTATATGGATCTACCGTACCGCTTTCACTCAACCGGAATTCAAAAACCTCAAAATTGTCAACATAATAACTCGAATAAGATGAAAGGTTTTACAACTTTTTCCACACGCATTTAAAATTCCGTTGCTCAACATTAAATGTGGATTAAAAATCAAGGTCTGTCAAAAAATTAATACGCATTAAATCCTGCCACATTAACGAAGGCACAAGGATTCGAGTCAAACTAAAATAAAAGTTCACACACACACACGCACTCAATTATGCGAGCACACACACACAAATGCGCGGACCGAAAGGCAAACAGAAACGAATGCTGGCGCAAGCATAAAATGATATGCGGCGTTGCCTTTCAAAAAGGATTTATTTGCCAAAGATTATTTTGTATTTACACACACTTTCGGTTAACACACCCACTGCCCTCCCTCGCCCCTGCCGTCGCCCTCGCCCTGGTGATGGCAATGTGAGATAAATACCAACTAAACTGACAATTCGAACTAATTCAACACTACACAAACAGCATAAATTGTGCACTTATTAATTGCCGAATGGAGAATGGAGAATGGAAAAAAAAATATGTGTATGTCCTTTTTTTTGTCCTGAATTTTATTCAGAATTAAATTTAATTTATTCATGCAACCAATTTTCTAAACATTTTTAATAATTTATAATTTATTTGGATTAAATGGTATTTATGCACTGCAAATTTTTTAGGTCGCATATAAATTGTAAATTTTAATCAAATATTGAACTTTTTAGCACCTAAAAATTTATGCTGCCTTGACTCCGTAAGGATTACAAACAGCAACAGAACTTTATTTAATATAATATTGTTTTTTTTTTTTGTTAAATACATATTTTTTCCATGGAAAATACTTGAATCAGTTTTTTCTTCGAATTTCTTTTGCATCGTTGACTTTTGTTTGATGCGTAAATCGTGGCTTTGCAAAATTTTCTACCTATTAAGCAGATGAAATTCAATCCGAACGAAGACAAATCAGTAGGGAGTTCACCATCGTTTTAAAGACTTACCCACATCATGCGAGGGCAACTCTCTCATACTGCATTCCAATCAGTCTGCATGCTGGTGTGGTGTGCGGTGCGTATGAGTGGTTTTTGTTCATACACAAACATACAAAAATTATCCTTAAACGAGGATACGAGGATGTGTGCATGTGTGCGTGTGTGTGTGTGGGTATCGAAATGCGTGAGATCCTTACATGTGTTCATTTAATTTATAAAATTCATAGAAGTGCAAAGCGAGTGCGGTTAACCCGCAGTTATTTCAATTTATTGTAAAGGTTCAAATAAAATTCTTCTCTCATTAATGATGTAAAACTTTTAACACTTCACACTACACTTACAGTTCACCAATTCACCGATTCACCGATTCCCCGATTAAATAGATAAATGGATAAACGTGCGTGACCAAATATTTTTTTTCAATTTAAAATTCTGCAGATACTTGTTGAACTAAAGTGTTAGAAAAGTGTTGATTTTCACTATGGAAGTACACCTGTTAGTCTTGTTTATGGACATTCAATTCACAATAAACTGGTGCACAAATTCACATAAACTTTGAGTCCCAATATATACTTTTTTAAGAATTGTAACCATTTAGAAATCCTCAAAGCTAGAAGGCATATGAAATGTGAAAATTAAGCTGAATACAAAATCTATTTTTATACTGTACATAGAATATATACATTAAGACTGAAAAGTTTTCGGAAATTCTCATTTAAAATTCGCGCGCTGTATATTTTTCGATATTTTAAGTTTATG